GTAGGATATTATACTATATAATATAGTATATATTTGGTAGTATATAGTATATATGTATAGGTATAGTAGTATAGGATATATATATAGTACTTATGGATAGTAGAGTAGGGGTAGTAGGGGAGATATATATGGTTATATATCATAGGTTCATATAGTATAAGTATAGTAATACATACGATTACATATATATTGTATATAGTATAATATATGTATGGATATATATAATGATTATATACTATAGGGGTAGAGTATAGTAGTATGATAGGGGTATATGGATATATGGGTGTATAGTACTATGTACCACTATACTATAGTAGAAGTAGTTATAGTATTAATAGTATAGGTATATAACTATAATATATTCTGGAATACTCAATAATGTATATATCGTGTCATATATGAGAGCCGGGGTATATAATGATATATAGGGTATCAATATACATATGATATATAGTAGTATATATATATATGTCATGGTATAGCATATATAATGTATATATCAACCGTATACATATATTATACATATAATCTATATATACTAATATATATATATATAGCATATATTATATACCCTACTCATACAACTATATAAATATATAACTATATAATATATAGTGTGTATGTGTGTGTTGTGGTGTGTGTGTTGTGTAAGCCTCATGGTATGTGTGCTGTGATCGTAGTGTGTGTGGTGTTTGTGAGCAAAATATGTGTGTGTGTGTGTGTGCGGCCGGTGTGTGTGTTGTGTGTGTAGTATATAGCTTACTATATAATAACATACGGTTATACGCATAATATATACATAGGTATATAATACTAATATATATATATATATACTTAGTACTATATATGGCATCATATATGAGTAATACACAACCTATATGTACTGCTACTACCTATAACTATAATATATAATATATATATATATCTAACGCTATAGTATATAGTAATATAATATATATAATGTTGACTGTGCCTGTGTTGCTATGGTGTGTGTGTTGATGTGTGCTGTGTGTGGCGTGTGTGTGTGGTGTGTGTGTGTGGTGCTGTGGTGTTTGTGTGTTGTGTGTGCCGAGTGTCTTACACAACACACACAGAACATGTCTACATTTTTAACGGATTGCGACGTCAGAGCAATTTCCGCCCTGACATTTAATTCCTTTGAAAGAAAATGACTTCATCTTGAACAAAGCTGAAAGTCTCTAGACAATGACATACAATCTCAATCTGCAGTTAAAAAAAAGTAGATTTTAAAAACTGATTCGTGCAATAACTGCATCCAGTCATACCACACAGATAGCGCACGCAAATATAACGTTTAGTCCGATGACGCCGAACAGGATTGCCAAAACGCGAAACCAAGCATGCTATTGGTCGAAGATTCTAGGTTTCCAAGGAATCTTCGGCGACTTGGCGTAGTGTTGTCATTGCGTTGCCGAAAATATGACTGGAAAAAATTACAGAAAACCGGTCGTAAAGTCTAACTGCTTCAATGTTCTTGTGCGTGGAAAATTCAAAGCAGTGGAATAATTTCAGTGTAAAAAAGCGGGAATAACACAAGGTCCTTTAATAATAAGATCAGAAAGAAATGATCAGCTGGCACTCAGATGTAGAGCCACTGATGATTCCACAGATTACAGTGCAATAATGAGTTCTATTTCAAATGTCAAGTTCTGCACATTTTAACAATGAGTTACACGTGCAGTTTTTGATACAATAATTCAGATATTCACTTTATTCCTTTCTTCTCTTCATTCCCCTTTTCAAAAACTACTATTCTTCCAAGTGAAAAAAAAGAAATTCTATGGACAATGAGCTCATACGTATATCCGTAGAATAAGATTGAAGTATAATATGAATAGAAGTGTTTACTTCAATGCATATTTTTCAGTTTACCATCTTATTCCAAGATTTGTGTTGTGTGGTGTGGGGTGTGAGAGGTGTGGTGGTGTGTGTGGTGCTGTGTTGGTGTGTGTGTTTGTGGT